ATTATTTGCAATGGCAACATATATTTGCACAATACATGACTCCTAACATGATGATGTTAGAATTGGTAGACGATGTGCATCCATATGCTACGTATATAAACATACATTTAATGGCACATTAGTAACTTGAGGAATGCTTTGTGATAAATAGCAAATTGAGTGGGGAAAAGAAAACTTGTTCTATTAATTATTTTCTAAAAAGAGTGAAGAGTTTTTTATCAACAAGTAAACAAAATAAATTGTATCAGTATTATGTACACTGATTAAGGGAAACAATTAGAAACATAACCATTTAAAAGAGAAATAACTTGTAATAAAAGCATTGAACAAGTGAAATAGAAACAAATATTTCAGAAACGGAAATAACTTGCAGTATACAAAATTGAATAAGTTAAAACTTGAGGAATCACGAAGATATTTCATGGCAAGCTGGTTGCTTGATAAAACAAATTAAATGTTAATTACAAATGTAAAAATCTATGACATATGTAACAAATTTGTGAGTAGTACTCACAACCTTAAAAGAAGTTTCGGTAACATAAAGTCAGTGTAAAAATGTGGAAGAACAGTCACTGGATGAACTTATGGCCAAGCCACAAAATGTAAATAATTTAACCATGATATGGAAAGTCATTAACATAATTAATTACAGGGCAGCATCTTTAGGGACAAACTTGAAGCAGAGTTATGTCCCTGTATGTTTTAGTACCTCAACATCTTATAGGGCTGGTAAGTAGGTCACCAACCAGTTCTATGGCTCAATAAAAGCTGCATGAGCCATAGATCTGTTTATTGACCTACTTACCAGTCCTATACCTACATAAAAGAAGTTTTTTAACTTTAAATAAACAGAAATTGTTTTGATTTTTAGAATGTAAAAAACCTGGATTCTAATCACAGAGATCAAACAATTTTTAAAACGTAGCTCTTATCACAGGAGTTAAGACTGCTAAAACTGGTATTTTGGTATCCAAATGTCATTTGTGTTTAGATCATTTTTAAAATAAGACTGGAAACTAAACAGTTTTAAAAATTCAAAATGTTTTGGAATGAATGAAGGTACATTAGAAAAAAAGTTTCTTGATTACAAAAACATAGAATAAATTATGTATTGTGATCATGTGTTGTTTCTTTTTACAGAAAGACAAAGCAGATAATTTCTTTTTAAATGTACATAGCGATTTTTAGTACCCCATAATGATGTGATCCATAGATTCTTATTTTTTGTTTTACAGATAATTTATTTTTCAAACTGTACGTTTAAAAAGTGAATGAGTAGCTAAAGAGGAATTGTTAATTTTTTATAAAACTGAAAACAGCTTTACATACAGAGTAAATACAATGGCTGCTGTATGAGTAGACAGAGGAGCAATCACAGGTTTCCCTCTGTTTTCAACAGCTGGTGAACTAGTCATGAACCAATCACAGGTTCAAATCCCTTTCAGCTAGACTTGTGTAATTTTATAAGCCGTTGTAGTTTTTTTCTCACCAGGGTTGTAAAATAAATCGGCATGTAATATTATTTTTTTCTAAATGACAAAACCTGTATAATTATAAATGAAACGCAATTTTAACATTAGAGAAATCTACTTGGAACACTACACAACTACAGCTAGGTAAAAGCAATACAGGCCATGATACAGGTTTTGTTATAATTGTTTTGTAACAGAGTTTCCTGTAGTGTGCATACAACAGGTGTGTATACTGTGTTGCATCAGTACACACCATCTGTTACAGATCTACTTAACGCAACTCATTTACATAAAACTGCAGACATCGGTGAAACCTATTTAAAACAACATATTTACTTCTACAGGGTCTGTAGGAATACACATATACGTAATAATAAATGTAGGCGAACAACACAGCAGTAATGTTATGTGTATGGGGAGTTGGGATGATGTAATTTTACATGTATGGGAGTAGGGATGATGTAATTTTAGATATATGGAAATAAGAAATGATGTAAGGATGATGTAATTTTAGACATATGGAAATAAGAAATGATGTCATTTTTCAGGTATGGGTAGTGGGAATTTGTAATGTTACGTGAATGGGGAGGGGCGAGCTATACCTGTATATGAATACAGGATGGAGAATATACGTAACCACATTTAAGGCAGCTGTACATATACATACGTAAATGTTGAACCAAAAGTTGAGACAGATGGACAAAGAATAGATCAATGTACAGTACGTGTTTGTTTCCCTTTTAAAATAGTTTATGATGCATGAGCAACAAGCAATATACTGCGTAGGCAATGGTAAAATATTTTTAAATTTTATGCAGCATAATGATTTAGTCTAGGTGCTTAAAACTGTCTAGACTCAGTGCTGTAATGTGATGTAATCTGTAATCTAATATAGAGGTTAAACTTCTCACAGCAAATAATAGGCAACCCAGCTAAAACAGGCCAACTTAAAAACAAGCACACCTTGGGCTTGAAGATCAAGGAATAAAATTATCTTATCCACTGGACTTTGCTAAAATTATTTGTGTATTTTTCAAACAGATTTTACTTTTGCAAAGTATACATAAATAATGTTAGTTTTCAATAGCAGTTTATGCTTTTAAAAAACAACTGTGTCATCCATTTTTAACAGTTGTTTCATCTTCATAAACTTGAGGTACTGCATTTTGCAGTATCCTTTAAGCTGATGTTTCCTCCTTTATTAAAACCAACAGTTTTTTCAATGATGAAACCACACTCTATCCAGCATCCACCAATTAGCTGCCCTATCCAGCATCCACCAATCAGCTGCCCTATCCAGCATCCACCAATCAGCTGCCCTATCCAGCATCCACCAATCAGCTGCCCTATCCAGCATCCACCAATCAACTGCCATATCCAACGTCCATGAAACAGCAGGTTTCATCAGTCCACTACACCGCCGTCCCATACATTGCCGTCCCCTACACCCCTACACTACCGTCCCCTACACTACCGTCCCCTACACCGCCATCCCCTACACTACCGTCCCCTACACCGCCGTCCACTACACTACCATCCCCTACACCGCCGTCCCCTACACCGCCGTCCCATACAATACCATCACCTACACTGCCGTCCACTACACTACCGTCCCCTACACCGCTGTCCCCTACACCGCCGTCCCCTACACTACCGTCCCCTACACCGCCGTCCCCTACACTACCATCCCCTACACTACCGTCCACTACACCGCCATCCCCTACACTACCATCCCCTACACTACCGTCCACTACACCGCCATCCCCTACACTACCGTCCCCTACACCGCCGTCCACTACACCGCCGTCCCCTACACTCCCCGTCCCCTACACTACCGTCCCCTACACCGCCGTCCACTACACTACCATCCCCTACACCGCCGTCCCCTACACCGCCGTCCCATACAATACCATCACCTACACTGCCGTCCACTACACTACCGTCCCCTACACCGCTGTCCCCTACACCGCCGTCCCCTACACTACCGTCCCCTACACCGCCGTCCCCTACACTACCATCCCCTACACTACCGTCCACTACACCGCCATCCCCTACACTACCATCCCCTACACTACCGTCCACTACACCGCCATCCCCTACACTACCGTCCCCTACACCGCCGTCCACTACACTACCATCCCCTACACCGCCGTCCCCTACACCGCCGTCCCATACAATACCATCACCTACACTGCCGTCCACTACACTACCGTCCCCTACACCGCTGTCCCCTACACCGCCGTCCCCTACACTACCGTCCCCTACACCGCTGTCCCCTACACTACCGTCCCCTACACCGCTGTCCCCTACACCGCCGTCACCTACACTACCGTCCCCTACACCGCCGTCCCGTCCCCTACACTGCCGCCCCCTACACCGCCATCCCCTACACCGCCATCCCCTACACCGCCATCCCCTACACCGCCGTCCCCTACACCGCCGTCCCGTCCCCTACACTACCGTCCCCTACACCGCCATCCACTACACCGCCATCCCCTACACCGCCGTCCACTACACCGCCGTCCCCTACACTACCATCCCCTACACTACCGTCCCCTACACCGCCGTCCCCTACACTACCATCCCCTACACTACCGTCCCCTACACCGCCATCCCCTACACCGCCATCCCCTACACCGCCGTCCCCTACACCGCCGTCCCGTCCCCTACACTACCGTCCCCTACACCACCGTCCCCTACACCGCCATCCCCTACACCGCCGTCCACTACACCGCCGTCCCCTACACTACCATCCCCTACACTACCGTCCCCTACACCGCCGTCCACTACACTGCCCGTCCCCTACACCGCCATCCCCTACACCGCCGTCCACTACACCGCCGTCCCCTACACTACCATCCCCTACACTACCGTCCCCTACACCGCCGTCCCCTACACTACCATCCCCTACACCACCGTCCCCTACACCGCCATCCCCTACACCGCCGTCCACTACACCGCCGTCCCCTACACTACCATCCCCTACACTACCGTCCCCTACACCGCCGTCCACTACACTGCCCGTCCCCTACACTACCATCCCCTACACTACCGTCCCCTACACCGCCATCCCCTACACCGCCGTCCCCTACACTACCATCCCCTATACTACCGTCCCCTACACCGCCGTCCCCTACACTACCATCCCCTACACTACCGTCCCCTACACCGCCGTCCACTACACTGCCCGTCCCCTACACCGCCATCCCCTACACCGCCGTCCCCTACACTACCATCCCCTACACTACCGTCCCCTACACCGCCGTCCCCTACACTACCATCCCCTACACTACCGTCCCCTACACTACCGTCCCCTACACCGCCGTCCCCTACACTACCATCCCCTACACTACCGTCCCCTACACTACCGTCCCCTACACTACCGTCCCCTACACCGCCGTCCCCTACACTGCCCGTCCTCTACACCACCGTTCACTACACCGCCGTCCCCTACACCACCGTCCTCTACACCACCGTCCACTACACCGCCGTCCCCTACACTACCGTCCCCTACACCGCCGTCCACTACACCGCCGTCCACTACACCGCCGTCTCATCAAGATCAATGTCCACCTCATTGCTCTCTCTGACGTGGTACAGCCGGCCCGTGTCCCTGATCTGGTTGCTGGCGATCTTCAGAAGCGTCTCCTCCTGTTGCTGGACCATCTGCTGCACCTGCTCGGCCGTCTCGGAGAAGTTGAAGCGGTCCGCCCTCTCCCTCAGGCGTAGCGTGTGCTCAATCTCGATCACGTTCTTGCCCTGCAGCGCCATGATGGGGGCGGAGTTCCGCGCCACGATCTTGCCGACCTGAAGATTAAGAAAATATTTTAGTTAGTAAATTGTAGACTGATTCTGGGTAGTGTGGAATCTAGTCCTTGATGTAGGATAAGATTGAATTTCTGGCACCCGAGGTAAAGATTACTTAAACAGATTCCACATAAATAACCAAAAGTGCTTTTTCTTGTACTTCCAATCTTTTGCCACTGAATTTTAGGTGAAAAATTCTCCCCTCAATGTAGCCTAAAATACATCAAACCCTCCCTCGCACCACCTCTCTTTCACCCATAGCAATACAAGAAAAGTAAAAATTTAAGTAAAATTTAAAAACATAATCAAAATTTTATCCTCGTAATTATTTCATGCAGCGCTGAATTCTTTTTTGTTGATAAACCTACAACGATGCCAGCTTTTTTATAAAGGTTTCCCCATACCCTATTCCCATAGACTTTTATAATTAAAAACATTAATCACGGCTACACAAGAACAACGCGGCGCCTGTCCTGGCTAATGATGTATTGATTAAGTGACATAGCCCTACAGTATCAGCCCAAATCTTTCCTCAGATGTTTGGTGATTAATACCACACATAGACGGGCGGCACGATCAGTAAACAAATGGCTGAGTTGTACTAGCATCGCGGCCCGCTAGTGTTGACGGAGCCAGATAGGATTTGATATATTGTTTTATATTCCACCCCGTCAAGTTCATTGAATAAATCATGCTTGAATGGGGTTTCTAAAACCCGAAATGTGGAGGAGGGGTAGGTGATGGAGGGTGGTTCAGAGCCATGAAGCAAAATAAAAATATTTTCGACAGACTAAAAAATGCTGTTGTTTTTTAAGGGTGGAGAAGTAGAAAAAAGGACAGCTTTCTGAAAAATTACTGTCATTGTTTATTCCTCCGTCATCAGATGTGTGAGCTATGATGAAAAAATTATTGGCTTGTGGCCAACGGTTTTATTTGATCTAAAGCAATCGTCGCAGGCGGTACTTCTACGGCCTTTTAGAGTAACGTTACGACATGGGTTTAGAATTTAGCTTTAATTTAGGTGCAGGGTTAGGCTTGGGGTAAAAAAAAATTTCTCGACACACGTTTTTATATGACTGGTTAATTGGAGGGTACCAAACAACATTCAGTCCTCCATCCTGCAGCTTACAGGAGCCGTAATAGCCTTTAACCCTCCATCCTGTAGCTAACTAACAGGAGCCGTAATAGCCTTTAATCCTCCCTCATGCTCGTCACAGGTACATATCAGCTTTCGCATTCCTTACCGCTCCCACCAGGAGCTGTAACAGTTCTGCAATCGTCTCCTGCTCTTACCAGGAGCTGTAACAATCCTGTAATCGTCTCCTGCACCCACCAGGAGCTGTAACCGTTCTGTAATCGTCTCCTGCTCCCACCAGGAGCTGTAAAAGTTCTGTAATCGTCTCCTGCTCCCAACAGGAGCTGTAACAGTTCTGTAATCGTCTCCTGCTCCCACCAGGAGCTGTAACAGTTCTGTAATCGTCTCCTGCTCCCACCAGAAGCTGTAACAGTTCTGTAATCGTCTCCTGCTCCCACCAGGAGCTGTAACCGTTCTGTAATCGTCTCCTGCTCCCACCAGGAGCTGTAACAGTTCTGTAATCGTCTCCTGCTCCCACCTGGAGCTGTAACAGTTCTGTAATCGTCTCCTGCTCCCACCAGGAGCTGTAACAACTCTGTAATGGCCCAAGCAGGGGAAGCGAGAAAAGTGCCCGATCACAAAGCCAACCCACCAATTACACGTCACAACCACCCCAGCAGTGAATACACTGCTGGGGTGGTTGTGACACGACGGCGTAATGGCGCAGACCGGAAGTCGGGTGCCAGGGTCGCAGAACGGGCCCAGGAGAGGGGGCGGATACAGGGTGGAGGTGGGGTGATGGGATCAAGCTTAACGTAACAAGGCGAGTGTAATCATTTATTTATACATCATTCACCTCTGTTCTTTGAGGGATTGTTTTTGGTGTGATTTTTTTTTCTTATATTTTTATGTGCGTCATACGAACGTGTTGGGAATTAAATAACAAGGTGTGTTGTGAATAGATTTTTTAAAGGACAAGGATGATTACAATGTAACACAGACTTCTCGTTCTTGAAAATAGGTAGATTTATCTATCAGTCTTTAAAGACTGCGTTCTTTTATTTATAAATGAATTTTTTTTGTTTTAAATTTATATATATTTATTTTGTATGTATAGTATAATAAGATAATATAATGCTAGTGGATTTCTTATGTATCAGCCTTATACTGATTCAACCTTTCTCAAAAAGATATTATCCTTCCTGAGAAGTTGTCATGTGTTTACGTTAGAATAAAACTAAAATGTAGATTCTCTCCAAAGAAAAGGGATGTCCTTTCTTCTACCTTAATCGAAGTACGAGTTGTCAGGGAATCCCCCCCCCCCTCTCCCCCCGACTTTTACCCAACCTGTTTGTTAATATGAGAAATTCGGAAATTGTGTAAAAAGCAGAATAGGTTTGATGTCACATATTAATCTAGGTTAGAATAAGATTTTGAGTCAGATTTTAAAAAAAAAAAACAAGTTAGCCAGCCATCACTTTACCTCTGCTAAACAGATCTGGGTGTTCTGCTGCGGGTTAACGTCAGGTAAATCCTGCAGTTCTGGAAGGTTCCGGAGCTTCAACTCCTTGTAGGTGCACGGCACGCAGATACAGGAGGAGTTGACCTGGCTGTGGAACTCGGTCACGACCTTGCCCTGCTGGAGCCTGGGGTCAACGGAGGACACGATAGGACATTGGTTAACACATAGGACATTAGTTTAACACTTAGGACATTTTTATCATATAGGACATTAGTTTAACACATAGGACATTTTTAACAGATAAGATATTATTTTAACACATAGGTCATTATTAACATATATGACTTTAGTTTAACACTTTGGATATTTTTAAGATAGGACATTAATGAATTTATAGGACATTTTTAACAGATAGGACATTAGTTAGCACATGACATTTTTAACAGTAGGACAACAGCAGAAGAATAAAACTTTGTAAGCAAAGTTGATACTGGTAAATAAACGAGTTGTGTTGACAAATAGGACACAGGCAAATTAATTGTTAAGAAGTCAACTAATATATAAACCAACAGGATCATCACAGAAAAACGTCTTTCGTGAACAAATATGATTAACAAAAAACATAAGACATTAGAATTAAAAAATAGGACAAAAAGCCATGTCTAAAACGTTGCTAATGTTTGTTTCAAATTGGACCTTTAAAGACCAATATGACATTGGTAAACACAAACTGATTCAACGAATATTATTTTAATAATACAAATTAGACAAAAAACGGACAGTGTTATTACTATTGCCCAGGTTTTTATTTGAGGCCATTTTTTTCGTAAACGTTCCATCCTGTATCATCTACCTCCATGACTGTTATACAATGACCTCGACATGACGGCAACAGCCATTCTCTTCAGTAATTAGATTGTAGGCTTTAATTAACAGAATGGACGCGAGTCTGGGCGAGGGCACAGTGAGAGCATTAAGCGAGTGTGTGAGCTGGGTGCCTGATATGGGTGAGAGTTCTCATCTCATAGAGTGGTAGGACTTGGGAAAAATGTTTGACCGAGTTGTGGGACTTGGTAAGAAATTCTGACAGAGTTGTGGGACTTGAGAAAAACTTCACTAGGACATAACATGTCTTCCCTATAGAACTAAGGTCACTAGGGACATGTCTTCCCTGTACAACTAAGGTCATTAAAACATGTCTCACCTGTACAACTAAGGTCACTAAACCATGTCTTACCTGTACAACTAAGGTCATTGAAACATGTCTCACCTGTACAACTAAGGTCACTAAAACATGTCTCACCTGTACAACTAAGGTCACTAAAACATGTCTTACCTGTACAACTAAGGTCACTAAACCATGTCTTACCTGTACAACTAAGGTTGCTAAAACATGTCTCACCTGTACAACTAAAGTCACTAAAACATGTCTCACCTGTACAACTAAGGTAATTAAAACATGTCTCACCTGTACAACTAAGGTCATTAAAACTTGTCTCACCTGTACAACTAAGATCACTAAAACATGTCTTACCTGTACAACTTAGGTCATTAGGGCATGTCTTACCTGTACAACTAAGGTCACTAGAGCATATCTTACCTGTAGAAATACGGGCTCCAAGCGTTAGGTCTCTCATGCCTGACAGACAACCTATTGTACTCCTGTACGACCCTCAAGGTCCCGTGATGCTCCATACACAGGTGGCACTGCGTGTTTGTGAAGGTCATGCCCATAGACTTGGACTGGACCGACTCGTCTTTCAGGCGCCGGATGTTGTGCTGGATGCCGTTAAACTTCTCCACGATCTCGTCAAAGTTGTTCAGCAATGATATCGGGGTGGGGTCCGACGGTTCCGGATGACTGCTGGCACTTCCGTTCTCCGGAGGGGCGCTGGTCGAGGTGTTAGTCGGAATGCCCATGGCCTGCATCGGCGCGTCCTCGTCCACGAATTTATGACACACCGGGCACCGGGAATACCCGGACCGCTGGCGGAGCCGCATGAACTTCCGGACGCAGTTGTGACACAGGACATGCCCGCACGGGAACGTGTCCGGGGCGCGGGTGTATTCAATGTCCTGCCTGGCTTCCACAGCCACAGGGGGGCCTAGGGGTGACGGGATGGGGGAGGGGATGGGTGACCTAGGGGAGCGGATGGTCGGTGACGGCTGAGGCGATAAATATCCAGGCGATTCTAGAGAGGAGACGGAGGGGGACCTGTAGTCATTGTAAGCCCCGCGGTCCTGTCTTTTATTTGCGTTGATGTCGTAAAGACGAAGCTCTGGCGCTTTAGACATGTTGAGAATTTGATCACAAGATTCTACACAAAAATATATGGCAACCTAAACCTGAATCTCCACAAGTTACATAGAAATTAATCTTTTTACCTCAACACGTCGGTTAGAATCTAAATATGTGCGTGTTCGAGGAATAAGTTTATCCAGACATCCAATATGTTGCCAGTTTGTGGGCAGGCGAAGATTAATATTTCCGTCAAGTTAATTAATTCGAAAACACAAACTTGAACACGTCTGACACGGTCAGGGTATGGCCTCCTGCCAAAGTCTAGGTAATATCCATTATAAAATACATCTGGCCCGTTTGTCAGCAGTTTGATCTGGCCGCCTGGGGTTCATTAGCGGCGTCATCCAAGCGATAAATTACACATTATCAACTCCACCCTTCTCAGTCGAGCTGAAATAATATTTGAAAAAAAAAACATTAGTTTAGGCCAAGGGAGATAATGCCGAATCACATTCACGGGGAGTTATCCTTACATCTTACTTAAATATATAAGAACATACTGGATCAAGGGGATTTTGGGTTGCTTAAAAATTCTGTTTTCCTCTGTAAATCTGGATTAAATTTTTCAAACTGAAAACATGGCAGTTTTTTTAATCAACCCTAAAATTCTGGATGATAGTGCCATGCTGAATGATTAGTAGATAGCTAAAACAGTCCAACACACAATAGACAATAAAGGTTCAGTAGTCTATATATATATATATATATATATATATATATATATATATATATATATATATATATATATATATATATATATATATGTATATATATATATATGTATATATATATATATATATATATATATATATATATATATATATATATATATATATACGAAGACGTAAAATGTACTATTAACTTAATCTAAATCTAGGACCACGCGTATTAGAAAACACCGCCAATAAAACAAAACGGCACTGAAAGTAAAAATTGGTATTAAAAAAAATCACGCCCAACGTGGGGCTCGAACCCACGACCCTGAGATTAAGAGTCTCATGCTCTACCGACTGAGCTAGCCGGGCAGGTAATTCCAGCTTGGACGTTTGAAATCTTATAACAAACTTTATGGCTTGACAAGAGCAGGTATTTATTGTTATGACAGTTTACTTTTTTTTTTTTAACATCTCCATTACCCGTTCCTACCCCCATGTAACAAGTAATAAGCCGTATTTTTACCTCCCATATTTTAAATATTTTTAGCGTTCAATAAAAACTTACAAATAAAATATTTTTATGTAGCTAAATATAGAATCTTTAAGTTTAATAATGTATTAGACGAAGTATCGAAGCTTCAACTGTACTGAATAAAGAATCGAATCATCAGCTGTAAGGCTGTATTAGATCAGTGCTTCAACTGTAAGGCTGTATTAGATCAGTATCGAAGCTTCAACTGTAAGGCTGTATTAGATCAGTATCGAAGCTTCAACTGTAAGGCTGTACTGAATAAAGAATCGAATCGTCAGCTATAAGGCTGTATTAGATCAGTATCGAAGCAGTGGCGTAGCTACCGTAAAGCTAGCGTAAAGCTAGCGTAAGCAAGGCATAGGGGCCCAAGGCAAATAGGGGGCCCTTTTTCGAAAGTTTGAGGGGGGGGGGTGCAAATCAAAAGTCTGAGGGTGGGGGGTGCAAATCGAAAGTCTGAGGGGGTGGGGGTGCAAATCGAAAGTTTGTGCCCGGTCGCCGGGAAGAGTCGCTACGCCTCTGAGGGGCTACTAACACTTTTTGCATAGGGGCCCAAAAATCCTAGCTACGCTACTGTATCGAAGCTTCAACTTTAAGGCTGTACTGAATAAAGAATCGAATCGTCAGCTATAAGGCTGTATTAGGCTGTAAAGCAGGATGTTATATCAGGGCTCTAAGGCACTACTGGTTACAGCACATTAAACATTTATACCATCAATGTAGGAACATGAATCTTTGAGGCTATCTCTAGCATTCTATCACAAGAACAACATTTACATAACCATTAGAGGAAAATGAATCAGTGAGGCTGCCTCTCAGTGTTTCTTCCAGACTTTTTTCTCCCGGGGGAAAAAACTCTGCTGCCTCTAGCATTCTATCACAAGCACAGCATTTATACATGCTATTTTTACAAGAATGTTTTAATTTATCTTTCACTAGTTAGGTATACGGCAGGAAATGGTGGAGGCCCTATGTTCCATAAGGAGCAAAGAGGACTAAGTCAAGTTAGATCTACCACTGTGTCATGTTTAATGTAATGACATGCTGAGGTGAAAATACCGCACCGTTAATTTTTGGGGTTAAACTGTCAATTGGTGCCATAAAGTTAGTGTCAGCACATAATTGTCAGACAATGGAGGTGGGGAGAGTAGGGGGGGGGGGTGTCACATTTAGAGATCGTGAGAACGGCACTTGTCAGATCGCCTTCAGACGAGAAAAGTGACGTTTGTTGTGCATGTCAAATCCAGATTTTTTCCCACCAGTGTGTGAATAGATTAGCACACGTCAATGGGTTTTTATGTCACGACTTAGAATTGTTCAACAAAGGAATGGTTCCAGAGGTGAAGCACCAGCTCCCAGAGGTGTAGGGTGGCACCCAGAGGAGAAGGGTGGCTCCCGGTGGTAGGGTCGTAATCTAAAGGTTTTCAATATACCCCGACACACACATTGATATGCTTATCGGTATGTGAATATTTGTATATATACATATACATATATATATATATATATATATATATATCGATATATATAGAGAGATAAATATATATATATATATATATATATATATATATATATATATATATATATATATATATATATATATATATATATATATATATATATATATACAAGGAGAGAGAGACTATATACGCTTTTGGTAGAACTGACTAACCCAGGTCAAGATCCAAGAGACACAAATATCAACTAGTATTGTCCAGATGACAAATATAACCGAAATATCAAGTACTGAGGTATTGTCCAAAAGATAAGCATTGCCGAATTATCAAGTATTAAAGTATTTCCCAAATATCAAGTACTGCCAAAATAGGCCTATGATTACTATGAAGCATTGAAGTATTTCCCTGATGTCAAGTATCGTCAAATTATCAAGTATTATAGTAGTCCAAATGTCAAGTATAACCGAAATATCAATTATTGAATTGATGCCCAAATGTCTAGTCTCTCAGATTATCATTTTAAACAAGAAAGTCGTTTCAAATTAAAAATTCATTTTTTCAATGAAGCCGATCTGGTTTTTAAAGTAAAAAAGCAAAATAAAACATTTTTTTTTAAATTATTATATTCAAATAAAATGTTTATAATAGAACGATTCATCATTGTAAAATATCGCTGTCTTAATCTAAGATATTCAATCCATGTCAATAACAAACATGCAATGCAGTAGTCCTGAGTTAATGATTAAATAAATGCATTGTGTATGTTTGTGTCACATCTAACGGAATGTAATTTATCACGTGCGGTCACGCTGACCTTTGAGTGGGCTCTGGAATCAAACAATAACGGCCAGACACTAGCCAGGGGACATAAACCTGGGATATTGTTTTGTTTTTTTTTTGACTGCGGTTTGTTCAATACGGAACATGTTCTGACAGCTGAATAATAAGCTGAGTAGGAGTTGTGGCTCCTGATCGTTATGGCGGGTCTCACAGAGATGACTAAACAAGCTGATTGGTGGAACGACACACGGGGTTAACTTCGTGGGTCAAGTGGGTAAAATGTGAGGGTGTGTGTGGGGGGTATGTGGGGGTATGTGGTGAGAATCTATATATATAATTCTCTTCTGGGAGCCGTTAGAAAACAAGCTGCAAGCGCCTCCTTGCAGTTCCCTCTCTTTCTCTCTATCACTATCACTACCACCCCCACCCCACATTGTCTGGTGAGTTGTGGTCACGCTAAATGTTTACAAAGCTAAATGTTTACAAATCGTAGAGCCGGGTTTCTATTAGGGGCAGATAATTTAGTTCAATTTTAAACTTACAGGAGGTAACTAAGAGGAGGCTGCTTTCACGGGGGGGGGGGGGAGGGTGTAGGGTCGGGGTTATTGGGACAAGGGGGGGGGGGGTAGTGTTTTAAAGCAAATATTTTCAGTGGCAGCATTGGTACTGTCGAATTCACAAATTATGAATTACTGAAAAGTAGAAAATAAAACAACTAAATAGCGGCGTATGATACGCTGCGGGTCGGCTCGTATCATGTATTTATAAAAATATATCATTGCCATAGAGTTCATTCGTACATTTATTGTTTAGACATACAAACAATTTTAATATGGTTGTAGGCTCATTATATAGGCTAACTCTTTTAAAACAAATGTGGTGTGTCATCACACTCATTAAACCGTATTTATTTGTGTTATTTTTTTTTAATTAACTCATTATGTCACACCGTTTTAAAGCATACACGTGCATTACGTTGCCTTTTTAATTAAATTAATCTGGCATCTGCTCAGAAATACGAGATAAATTAGATGAGTTTCTTCACTGTTTTCCTACTGAAAATTACTGTATACACGGCAAAACTTTTGGTACGGCAACACCTTTATCTATTGAATATTATCTCAGTAGATCTCAACCACAATTAAAGTTGTGTTTACGTGTCTCAAATATAGCAGCTTTGAAAGTTGATCAACAGACTTCAAAGAGACGTAAATCCTGTTACAGTTATTGGGTGAATGGATCTAACCGTAAGTAGTAATGTGTTTCCAGTCTCCACAACAGGACATAATTAAAAGTCTGGCATTTATACCGACACAAACATTTGTTTGACGTCAAGAATCGGTAATGCCAGCTTTCGCATGACAAGTTATCTATGAAAGAGTACAGTGCTAGAACTGGATGTTTTCGTCTCTTCGTTTTATTAATAGACTGGTCATGTGACTTCACTACGCTGGTGTTTTTATTTTTAACTGGGTCACAAAACATGACCCAGAAAATTTAAATATGCTGATGATACATCAGGAGTGTAGTGATGGTTTAAAAAAAAAAATTGTATGTTGTAATGTTAGGACTAAAACAATTCTTGGTATAACCGGTTCTGATGTAAGTAATCGATAGATCGAAGACTATTGAACTCCCTCCCACGATCTAAGCGACTCTTTAAAATTATGGATTTATTGATCGCAGCTCGCGTTGGAGAGGGGGGGTGGAGCAGGCGGATGGGGTAGAGGTGGTGGGGATAGGGGGGATGATGTGGGTTGGAGCGGGGATGGAGCGGGGTTGGTAAAATGGCCAATACAAATTCGGCCAAGTGGGCATGTACACGGTTAAGAGGTGGGTGATGTTGTGAGTTCATGTCACAGTGACCCGGGGATGGGATGGATGTTTGATTCGGTTATTTCATATAGTTTTTACATACATCATCTCACCAATAACAGGAAACAACATAATTACACGTGCACAGTCGGG